ACCTGCCACATGCTGCTGTCACATCCTATAGATTTCCCAAGCAGCTTTGTCCCCTGTGGTGAGCTACTGTCCTGTGTCCTTCCAAATCACTCTTGCCTTCTGAGATGAACTCCTGGCTTTTGAGGGACAGGACCTAAATAAATTACTGCAGTTTTTGCTGTCATTAAGATCTAGTTTTCTAAAGTACTGTCTAGTCCTTGTGGATGATACATAACTCAGAATGAGACTTTGTGACAGGTTACGTTATGATAAAGAGAAAGGCAGTTCTGATAAGCCACACCAGAAACACCATATGCCAGGTGCTGTTCTGAACTCTTAACACCTATAAACGATTTGCTTTATAAAACAGCCCTATGAGCCAGGTGTGGTAGTACATGCCTGTAATCCCAATAGCCCAGAGACCAAGGAAGGAAGATCATGAGTTCAAGGCCAGCCTGGGATATATGAGACCCTGCATCAAAAAATAACCTTATTTATATTATCATTACCCTTATTCACACAGGAGAAAACAAAATTCAAATGTCACTAATCTGGTCATTCAAATTTTAAATATATTCCCCCCTTCATTTTTCTCTTTTTCCTCTTTTGAGAGCTAGATATGAAAGAGGAGAACATTCCAAAACAAGTGCATATATTGTGAGAATTAGAAAGGGAGCACACAAGCCAAGGGAAAAGCACAGGCTCAGCAAAGACCTGAAAAGACCTAGTTTACCTCTTGGGCTGATTTTTAGCACAGAGACAGCCTATAACTATATTAAAAACAAGCACCAAAGTTGAGCTAAACATTTAAAAAATGGTTAAGATGGCAAATTTTATATAATTTGTACTTTAACACAATCATAAATCAACCCACCAATCAGCTCTCTATACCTCATATCATATACAAAAATGAAATGCAGGTAGGTTGTATGTGATACAAAAAGCAAAACCATGAAGGAAAAAAAGCTAAACTAAATCTCATTAAGTTGAAAAACTTCTGTGCTTCCTTCGAACATGCCCAAGTGTTAAAAGACAAATCACAGACTAGGGGAAAATATATGCAACCCATGTAATTGATGAAGGAATTAGTATTCAGAATATAAATAAATCAGTATAAAATCAGTTCATGGGGAAAATGGTCAAAAGATGAGTAGTAATTACAGAAGACAGTCATCTAGCCAGAAAATGTGTGAGACTCAACCTCACTATAAATCAGTATGAATTAAAGTAAGTGGGCTCCATTGTAGGCCTGTAGGATAGATGGAAAATAAAGTCCTACAATACCAAAGACTGGCGAATATAGAGGAAAATGGAAGTTCTTGGGTATAGCTGGAGGAGTATGTCTTGGTATAACTGCTTTTAGTACAAAGCTGAGTGTCCCTTGTCTGAAGTGCTTGGGACCAGAAATGTTTCAGATTTCAGATTTCAGGTTTTGGAATATTGGCATAGACTTTACCAACTGAGCATCCCTAATCTGAAATCCAAAATAGTCCAAAATCTGAAACTTGAGCACAATGTCAGCTCAAGTTTCAAAGCACTTCAGATGGTGGATTTTTGTATTAAGGATGCTCACTGGGTATAATTAAAGATGCATGTACCCTGCCTCCCAGCAATTCCACTTCTGGATGTATTTGCTGAAGAAATAAGTATGTGTACAAGAGGACAGGTTCAAGGGTATATATGATGTCATTTTCTGTAATAGTAAAAAGAAAATGTACAAAATGTGCAAAGGGGAATGAATAATGATGTACATGCATGTGTAAAATATACAAAACACTGCACAATAGAAAAAAAATGAACAATCCTGTCTACATTTATAAGTAAAGACGAGTTCAGATAACACAAGGCAGTCCTCTGCCACCACAGTTGGAGCACCTATGCAGTTGTGTTCTGTGGTTGTGCAGTGCAGGAGCGAGCTACGTGTCTTCTGGCCAGTCCTTCCACAGGGCAGTGGAACCAGTGCATGAATGACCTGGATTCAGATCCCTGGTCCCCAATTCTTCAGGAATGTGGGAAGCAGCCAAGAGATATCCAGGTCAATTTCATTTCATCTGAGCCCAACGCCAAATAAATTCAGGTGAAAGTCACATATGAGTTCTAGTGCTAAGGAAAACAAATGAAAAGTAAAAAAGACCTTGAAAGTCTTATTGAGGGGTTTGCTGTGGGTTGAGTATGTTTAGGTCATGCTGAGGCTTCCTTCCTCAGTTCCCCAATGGGTGGAACCACGATTAAGATAACAGGAGGGATGAGGTGCCTCTGTCATGGGAGAGGGAAGACTGAGTTCTCCCCCTCACAAAAATGGATTTGTTTTCACAAGAATGGGTTGCTGTACAGAGAGGCCATCCCTGGCGTTTGGCCCCTCTGCACACAGCCATCCCCTTCCTCTTTTGCTCTTCTGGCCATGACATGACTTGAACAGCATATGCTCCTCACCAGAAACCAAACAGGTGCCTGTACCCACGCTCTTGGACTGCCAGAAGAATGAACAGAATAAACAATCCTCCTCTCTTTACCAATTGCTCAGCCTCGGGTACTCTGTTATCTTGTTACACATGTTTGACTCAGGCAAGGTTCTTGCACAAGTCCCCTAGTGGGACCAATGGTCCAGAGAAAGCTGAGACCCATTGGTTCTATAAATGCACATTGAAAAGATGCAAATTCTTGCTGGCAAAGGAGTAGATGTAGTGTGTATCTAGATGATCAGGAAGCAGATTTCAACACTTTCATTTCAGGTCTCCTGGCTTGGGATTTTCATCTAGGAATTCAGAAGCAAGACCATACTTCACTGGTTATAGAGCATGTATAAAGAAGCCATACACCATTTTCCTCATCTGGACCCTGAGGCCTAGGACCAAGGTCTGAGGTGTCTGCTGCTGGTCTGCACCACACCCAAGCTAGCTTTTCTCTGCCATCTGGAAGCCTGAGCCCCTCAGGATTTGCCCTTGGTCTTCTCTATTCTTCTTAACTCACTTCTGGAAAGTCTCATCACCTCCATGCTGTTAGTTCTATGCTGGTGACTGATCTGTCATCTTTAGCACCGACCTATTCATTGACTCTCAAATGGTATTTTCAGAGGAGTACTCCTAACACATTTCAAACTCACCATTATCCTCCCTCTTCTCTCTCCACTTCCCTAAACATCCACTTTTCTCCCCACCATAAACTCAGAAGTCAAGTCTTCATGTCCGGTCTCTTCTTACAGACTCCCATCCTTATCTAACTCTTAATTAAGAGAAAGGATGAAAGCCTGAACTTTGAGGAGTGAAAACTTATGTGAGCAAAATAGAATCTTAAGAAGGATAACTCATATAGTAAATGAGAAAGAAAAGAAGACTGAGAACCATGAAAGAGCTACCACCCTAATATCTCAAAATTAGGATTCCTGGTGAATAAGCAATTGTATTTCAAAGAGAATAAAGGGTGATCCACTGTATTTATAGTGGAAAGATGAAATTTTGTGTTCCTAAACTGAAGATACAGATTTACACTGACCACATGGCTATGTATTTATTCATTATCCTATTATTCATTTTGCTTATAACTTTGATAAATATTTGTATAAATGAGAATAAGCCGATATCAATGGCACATTTGTAAGTTAATATATGTAAAACTCAAGAGTCGTATTTTTTTAACCAAAGCTCCAACTGGATATTTATTCCAATTGTGTCTTCCTGGCATTCAGCTTGTGACACAGAAACTACAAAATGGCTATTTTCCTCAGTGCTTATCTTAAAAGAAAAACAAGGTGACAACAGACACAGATATAGCCACCATGCATGCAAGTGCTGTGGCCTGCATTCTTTCTGTTAGTCTATGACAACATTGTCACAGCAGAACAGAAAAGGGGGAAGCTTGCGACCTGGTCCTGGGAGGGGCGGAGACTCCTCTGGAAATGGACAATTAATGTCTAATCACCAAAGCACACACAAGCTCAAGGATACCAGAAGGTTCTGCCGGAACAGTCTGACTGCAAAAGCAGCCCTTATAAAAAAGCCTACCACAAATGATTTTTGTACTTTTTCAAAGAGTTTGCTGTGCTGTGTTTGAGAGCTTATTTTTTGTGGTCCATTTACATGTGTGATGATACTAATTAAAAGTGAGATGGCTTAGACATAATTCAAATCAAGACACTCTAGGAAAAGTGTGCTTAAGTGGGAAAATTTTACTATCGTATTAAAAGTATCTTGTGTTTGATATTTAGAAAATTAGTCCAATTCAATCAGAGATTTTTTTTTCAGTTCTGGAGATGGAAACCAGGGCCTTGTGGGTTCTAGCCAAGTGCTCTACCAGTGAGCTACACCCCAACCCCAACCACAGACCTCACAGAAGTCAACTGAAACCTTAAAGAAACTACTAACTTTTCTTGAAATCCAAGAAATTGAGAGGTTGGTAAGTATGAGCTGAGCAGACAGAGAGATTTCAATTAATCAAGTCTCTTAGGTTAAATACAGAAATAATTTATTAGCTAACACCTGCTTGGAATCTAACACATCTACCTTGTAGTTTTAACTATACACCAGAACAAGGGATCAAAGCCATGAGATTTTAAATTAAAGATCACAAAGTTGAACTCCATCATTTAATAGGTAAGGCAAAATGGGCTCAATGAAGTTAACCTGCTAGAGAAAGACAGCAGCTTGCTGAAGGTCACTCTGACCTTCTGCCTGACCTTCTGCCTGGTAACTCCATCCTACCATATCCAACAACTCCAACTGATGACATTGCCATCTGCGGGAGTCACAATCAAATGCCCTCATGTGAGTTCACAGGAAACCCTGTTCTTATACCCACCCTGGAGCACCATATTTGTGGTGAATTAAGTCACAGTGGGTACAGATGCTAACTGCTTTCTACACAGGCATGAGAAGGAAGCCCACTGAGAAATGAAAAACTGCTTTGTAAAAATAATTTGAAAGATTCTTTTGGGGCTGCACAAATTAAAGGAAGCTTTTATTCTTTCTGCCTTCTCAGTGGGTTAGAACCATTTCACCACCAGCAGACTCGATGTCAGTACTCACCATGGAACCAGGGAGAGATGGTGTCGGAGGCTTTCTGGTAGCCTGCTCGGAGGGGAAGCTGCTCCTCTTTGAACCATCGGATGATGTCCTCCTGGGCACAGCTGGACGCTGTCCTCATCATGCCCTGATTTCTGTCATGTGAAAAACACTTTCAAGTTAACGAATTTGAAAATAATGTTTGCAAAAATCTTTTGCATACATATACGCTATTATATATGAATATATGTTCTCATTATAATGAGAATATACATATATATACAGACACTCAATCAACCAGGACCAATACTATTCAAAGAAAAATAACTACATGGAGAACAAGGAGCCTAACAGGTCCTGCCTGGAGGTTGGTACCAGTGGAAGGGGGGGATAATATAAGGCAAGGGTATAGGGGGGGAATGTAGTAGAAATACTATGTACTCATGTATGAAAATGGAAAAATGAGACCTGCTGAAACTATTCCAAGAATGGGAGAGGGGAGTAAAGGAGAATGATGAAGGGGGTAAATTTAACTATGATATATTGTAAGAAATTTTGTAAATGTCACAATATGCCCCCAGTACAACAATAATGATAATTTTTTAAAAAGAAAAAAATTATATGTACAGATCTTTTCTCTTGTCATTATTCCCTGAACAATACAGTATAATGACTATTTACATAACACTTACATTGTCTTAAGTATTATAAGTAACCTAGAGATGACTTCAAGCATCCGGGAGGATATGTGTCGGTCATACGCAAATACAACACTATTTTATATGAGCAACTTGAGCATCTGTAGATTTTGGGATCTGCAGGGGTCCTGAAACAAGTCTCCACTTATACTGAAGGAAAGTTGTATACACATGGAGAGGGGCTGGGAAATTACATACATTCCAATATCTAATTACATGGGCTGAGCTAATGAAGGTGGGAACCCCCTACATGCTACCATTACACAACTCCCCAGGGGCAGACAGAAGAAAGAACACTAATCTGTCATTTGTCCTTCCGGTCTTAAAGGGCTAGTCATAGGTACTGAACCACTGCTGTGTTAACACACAGATTTCAATACATTTTAATAAAAATTAGAAAATCCATTAACTCCCAATGGAAATCTGAGAAAATAAGCCTTTAAAAGTTGAAATACAACCCTGGTACTATTTTCCTGGACAGCATGGACTTGCAATAAAAAATAATCATATGTGATAAAAATATATTTCTTTCTTAGTGTTTTCATTATTTGATCACTTCTTCCACTGTTTTCACTAACCTCCCTGACTTGCTTTCCTCTCTCCCACACTTTGAAAAGGTTTAGTTCTACCAAAAGATGGTCTCAGAAATATAAAGTAAAAAGAAAATAATTGAACACTGGGAAGAAAAAAAATAAGTAACAGAACCATTTTGAAATAAACTTGGTGGCAGAACTTAAGCTCTGGAACAAAGCAGATTTTCTCTACAAAAAGCAAAATGCAATGTAGTTAACATATTTCCCAATCCTACTCAATAGCCCACTAAGTATGAGCAGAATTCAATTTTAAAACAAAAACAACTAAGTTTGGATGAGCTACTGGAATTTCCTGTAATGTAAATTAACTTAGGGCTCTTTACACTTTTAATGGTAACATTAACATATAAATTAACATATGCTACCATGAGTTACAGGTGACACACATGTCAGATCTACAAATATACATGTACATATGCATGTATATATTACCCCTCATGATTTCCAGCGAACTCATGGAGAAACTATCCTATAATATTTGACTTTCTCAGGAAGCAGACATTGTATATACATGAGATTATATGATAAATTCTCATACTAGCTTCCAAGTTAGATTCTTTTTCTCTGGATAATCCTTGGAGATGGAGCAAAACTCCAAAGACAGAGGCAGCGTCTGTCTTCTGGGCTGGCTCCTGGCTGACCTCTGGTCTCACCCCTTCCAGCCTAACACACAAGAAGCACTTCACGCAGTTGGAAAAAAATGAACTGAGCACAGCTTACAACAAGAACTGCCCTCTTTTTAAAGGCTGCTTTCATCACCATCAATCAAAATACTGTTCCCTAAAAACACTGTAGGAAAGGAAAAGGACATCTCGCAAGTCCTATTCCCAAGCCACCCTTGGAAGGCCCTGAGAACAGGAATGAACTGTACAAACAGTTCTGCTCCAGGCTCTGCCGCCAGTGTGCACACAGGCAGACTTTGGACTGGTCAGGGCCATGTGTGGGAGGCCCTTTGTGACCTGTTCACAAGATGGAAGAGATGCCCATTTCCTGACTATCTTTCTTGTTTTGTAGTCATTCCCCAGACTGTTGCTTTGTAGTACATGGTCATTTAATTTGAGTGCCACATCTCAATATAGAACCTTTCAGTTGAGTAAGTGGAAATAATTATAGTAGAGGAAAAAGTCCACCTCTGTGTTTCCTCTGAGGTTATAATCCCTGCTTAAAAAAAAGGAAAAAGGAAAAAAAAAAAGAGAGACCTTGATGATAACTATTGATTCCAAGCAAACAGATTTTTGTTTATTTTTCATTTTGCCGTACTCCTAACAGAGAAGTATTTTTAGTTTTTATATCAGAAGGCAAGGCTATATACAGCTCTGGTTCACTCAATCAACAACTTACTTTGAACACTTTCTTTCTCAATGTTACAATATTAGGGTTGAGCATATAGCTGAGTGGTATGTGCTGCTTGTATAGTATGTGTGAGGCCCTGAGTTTGATCCCCAGCACCTCTAAATGAATAAATATTAGAATATTAAAGAAATACTCTAATATCAGTAGCCAAGAAAAAAAGACTTTCATAATCAGTAAACATGAGGGATGGGGAGATGTTCTGAGGTGTTACAGAATCCTTCTTCATGCAGCTTCCAAGACACATTGCTCTTCCCAATGCTCCCCCACCCTAGGAAGGAAAGGAACCACTGTCATCAGATAAGGAGTTCATTAAAAAAATGAGCATTTCCAAATTCTCAAAATACAAACTTAACTATGTATCTCAGAAGGACAATTGCTATCAAACCTTGACTGTAAAGGCCAGGTGCAATGACTCATGCCTGAAAAACCAGCTACTTGAGAAGGGGGAGATCAGGAGGTTCACGGTTTGAGGCCAGCCCAGGCAGAAAGTTAGGAAGACCCTATCTCAACCAACAAGCCTGGTGGCAAATGCTGTGACTCCAGCTACTTGGGAGGCATACATAGGTAAGAGGCTCATTAGTCTAGGCAAAAACACATGACCTTACCTGAAAATAACTAAAGCAAAAAAGGGGCTAGGAGCATGACTTCTGGTACAGCTTTTGCCTAGCAAGTTTGAGGACCTGAGTTCAAACCCTAGTACCACAAGAAAGAGAGAGAGAAGAAAAGAAAAACCTTGACTTTTAGGTCTTAGTGATGACCTAAAAATCAGCAAGCCTTTGGGGTGCTACTGTGTTATTCTTTTTACAGTAGAGGTGACCTTGAACAAGACCACCCTACCCTCACTCCGATCTTTTTTTTTCCTCACTGGCTGGCCTGCTGGGCAGGGCGGGGCACAGGAAGCCATTTTGCTGGGTGTACATCTTCACCATGTAATTGGGAATAGTAATTATAAGCACTGTGGATATTTCCCAGGTAAGGATGGGGTGAGCTGCAGATCTGGAATCCCAGGGAGCAGAGTGAGAGGTGAACCTGAATTTACATAAGCAGCCAACTGGTCCTCCTCATCCCAAGACACCAGTCCATTTCAACGCTTTTGACTAAAGCCATCTGTGTCGCTGCTTACCCCACAGGTCTCTGAGGGTATCCCACTGGGGGTAGGAACTGGGGTTTGGGGGGAAGGGGAGGTCTTCTGGGCTTCTGTGGATCACTCGGGGTGCTCTGCCGCCCTTCACCGCTTCTTCCTCTTTGGGATAACCTCTTGTAGTCTTCCCGAGCTTGTTTAGCCAAGGAGCGTCTCCTCTCATCAGCTGCTTTGGATTTTCTCACTAGAAAAGCAACAGGTTTTGAGAAAGGCCCCAAGGAACATGAGACTGCACATTGCACGAGGTGTTGTTGGCAGTCTGTCATCCACTCTTGATGACAAAAATCACCATCAGTGCCTACTCCCTGGCTCTTAGGGCTCGCCCAGTATTCACTGCAGAATTCCTCTCTGCATTTGGGAGTTAGAGGATTTGCTGAGAGAGAGGGGGAACGAAGAGGAGGAAGAACATGTGTAAGACTAAGTGATGGCCCCAGGCTGGGCGAGGATTCAAACTGGCAGAGACAAGGGACCTGTCCCTCACACTCATGCTTAGGACGCTGTGTGCCCCGAGTCTATAGCAAAGACCGGGGACAGGACACTTAGTGGTACATGGCCACGGGCAGGGTAAAGAGCATCGAGGCTTGTCTAAGCTTGCACTCAGAACTCACCGTGAGCAGAACCAAACGTGAACTGGCCTGCTAGAACACGCAAAATCACCCCAAGGCTGCCTTTTATTACTTTGTAAAATAGAGGGGTTTCGTTTTGTTTTAGACACATAGGGTTAAAGATTCTAAGACAGGATGTAAGAATAATTTTTATTGAATGTATTTCTACTTCAGACATTATTAGTCAAATCCTATTTGACTTCAAATAGATACCAAAAATATTCCAATATATTAGGATTTCAGTGCACAGCACAACAGGCCACAGATTGGATCTTGCAAATATTTTCATTTCACAAAAATTATCATTTTAATGGCATTTGTTGTAATGGGACTGCAGATAATTTAGGATTCTCAAACACTCTGCAAATATTGCCACTCCTGTTCTCTTGCCCAACCTGCCTCAAGGGATGAGCTGGAAGTTTAGTCTTCTTTGTCTATGTCAGATGGAAACCCTGAGCCTTTCTCAAACCTGAAGTCTAGCATGTTTGAGCATCCTCTGTTTGGTTTTCATTGACATTGACTCATTTTTCTCCTACAGGGTTTATGTATGTAGTACTTGCTCAAAAGGGGGTCAGGGTTGGGTCAAAGCCAGAGAAGGATGCTAACATATCCAGGCTGTCATTCCTGTGTTCTTCAAATTACAAAGTTACACATATGGAATGTGGTTGATGCACTTTCTGTATGTGTATGAATTTGGAACACTGAAACCTGTCAGTCATTCTAAGAAAGGGGGGAGGGGAATGGGAGAGAAAAATGGCAGAGATGAACTTAACTGGGGTACATTTTACCCATATATGGGAACGTCACAAAAAACCTGTATAACTATTATATACTAACAAACAGGTTTTTTAAAAGTTACATGTATTGAAACATTACACAGTACCCCATCTTGTTTTGTGTCAGTTAAGAATAAAATAAAACTTTTTAAAAATGCAAGCACTGCTGAAAATTTAGGAGGAAAAACAAAACAGAATAGCAAGGAGTAAAATTCAAATAAATGAATCCCATCTCTCCAAGAAAACTAATGTTAACATGCTAACAGATAGACAGACAGATAGATAGATAGATGGATAGATACATACATACATCATTTGATGGCACAAAGATGAAATGAAAAGCATCTGTTCCCCAACAGTTGCTCGTAAGCATTTGGGTAATCACTTAGTAATCTTGAGGAATAATTTACTGTTAAGGACCCACTTTTGTGCTTCCCAGGCTGATCATTTTATTAAGTGAAAGGACCAACTGAAGGTCTGAAGGCCTCTGTGTACTCACAAGACGCCTGCCACTCCGAATCTTCTTTCCAGCTCTTGTAAATCTGCTTGGTTTTCTCTTCTTCTACTTGTTTTATTTCTTCATCTTGTTTCTTCGTCATGGGTTCTTTCTTCTGTTTAACAAATAATAGACAAGCATTGGTGAACAAATCTGACGGTTTTCTGTGAAAACAAGGGTACGAGGCACTCCTGACTTGTTTTCTATTAGCTTATATTAATTGTACAAGGGGTTTCAGTGGGACATCACCATATAGCATATGGCGTGCTGCCCCAGAGGCAGGCACTTGGCATCAGTGATTCCTGAAGCTGGCCCCACTGCTACCTAGCTGTGGAACCAAAGCCAATTCTTGGACCTCTTGCAGGCTGTTTCCCCATATGTAAAATGAGAAAGAATACCTCATAGGGTTAAAGTGAGGGCTAGATTTTTAAAGTGCCTCCCACAGTGCATAATACATAGTAAGAACTCAGTATAGTCCTTTTCCTCAGACGTTGCACTTAGCTTCTCCAAACATACTCCCTTGAAGTAAACACACTTTTATGGAACCAGTGTAAACACTATTTTATGGTGGCTGACAGGTTCCACAGGATAACTGAAACTTCCCAGAGCAACCTTGGTTGGATTTCCACATGCCCTCAAGTCATATGTCAAAAAATGTGACACTGCTCATAATTTCAGGTGATTCAAAATGGAGCATTATTTTTTTGCTTAAAAATCAAAAACCATTTTTTTAAAACCCATTGAGGAGGGAAAATGAAAGATAATAAATGTGAGTGTTCCTTTAAAGAGGGAATTCATTTTTTAATTGTGGTAAAATACACACTGAACAAATTTACTATCTTCATCATTTTTAAGTACCCTGTTCTGTGGCATTGCATGCAATCAAGGGAATTCATTTTAAACTAAAGAGAAACAAACAAACCAAATCAGTTAGAAAAGTACTGTGTTTATCTGGATATAGTCCTCTGAGTACTTATAAGACAACTGAATATAGACTTTGGTGAACTAATAAAAGCCTTAGCTAGCTAAGTAATGATGCAGGCTGAAAGACCAACCCTACTTCCTTCTCTATTGCAAGTATTTTTTCTATTTTGTTTCCTTGTACAAAGATCAAGACTTCCTTGCTATGCAATCATTTCATCACAACTAAAATACAAACCTTGATGTTGTGAAACTTGTTTTTGATCACTATAGGGAGTCATAAATCACAGTTAATGTAGTGATAATTTTTAAACTGTACTTTGGATACAACTACACTTTTATGCATCTTCTATTTGCACTTATTTTTTTGCATTGTTTTCCTGTCTAGAGCTAAGCTCTGTTTGTTTGCCAACACAATGTATTATAAAAAACCAAATACCAGCTTCGGTACTTGAAATAACCATTAAAAATTTGCCATTCCTTACTAAAGCTGTATACAACCCTGACATACATAAAAGTGCTACTAGCAACTACCAAGCTTAAACAGAAAAAACTTATAAGTGGAGCTCTGTTCACCTTCCACATGCACATATGTATTTATTTTTAAGTATTAGAAAAGGTCAAACTAATATTGTCATGGTTATTGTTGCCTAGGATAAGCAAGAAGTTTAAAAAGTTCATCCTGTGAAGGAAAAACATTAAGTGACTAATAATTCAGGTAGTATCTGGTTGGTAGATGGTATCAAGCTGTCTGAGAGTGCTATAGTTGGTAAATCTTCCCCTTTCTAATCTGTAGTGTAAATCCATAGGCACAGTGGGGAAGGAGACAAAATTGATGAGCTTTACAAAGTAATGGCAAATGAGACTTAGCTCTGACCTCTCTATCTGTATTCAAAACAGCTAGAAAACTTAAGAACTCCCTCTGAGTTAGTCTCTAAGAGCAGGAAGTCTGTTTCATTATCTTTGTTCTAGAGAACAAAGCTTGGGAAGCCATCTGCTCATCCCTTCTCTCAAGTGCCTGCCATTGTTTGACCATGTCACGTAGACTCTTGCCTTAGTGCCTTTGCACCTGCTGTTCCCCACTGTCTGGAACACCTGTCTCCACTCACATCCATCCACACGGCTCTCTCCCTTGTTCCTTCAGGTCTCTGCCCCAGTATCAACTTCTCAGAGTGGCTTTCTCTAACCACCTCTCTATAAACAATACCTCCCACTCTCCCAGCATTCCTCAGGTCCCACAATGTGCTTTTTCCCCCCATTTCACTTATGATCATCTGCTTTCCTAGGTAGATTTCCCCCCATTTCACTTATGATTATCTGCTTTCCTAGGTAGATTTAGCCCTATCTCCCCCATTCAGAACATAAGCTTCCTGAGGGCAGAAGTTTTATCTAATTTGTTCATAAAATTGCACTCCAGTGCCTAGCATACAGTAGGCATTCAATAAATGTTGGTTGAATAAAAAAAACAGATTGTCTTTCTCAATTTAAGATGATGTAATCTGGGCAGTGCTACTGAAAATTTTCTTTAGATCCTTTATTGCTGCTGTTTTAGAAAAAGGCATGTGTAAGTTCTTCCTTGATAACCAAGACCCATGATACCAAGATCTCTGGATTTTCAGGTCTATGATATAAAATAGCAAAGTATTTGCATATAACCTACACACTTCCTCTTACATTAAATCATCTAATATCTAATACAACGCAAATGCTATCTAAATTGTTGTTACATTGTATTCTTTAGAGAATACAATTCTTTAGAGAATTTAGAGACTAATGACCAAAACAGGCTGTACATGTCCAGTACAGATACAAATACTTTGGGAATATTTTTCATCAACGGTCAGCTGAATCCACAGACATGGAACCTGTATGGATATAGAGGGCTGACTGTATTACACAATCAGTACGCAGATGAGGACTAGAATTCCAAATATTCATTTGAATTTCTTGAAGTCTTAACACTACGAGCTGTCCCATTCCATTTGGGTCCCTACCAAAGGAGTCAGGGGATCAGTCACATAGTCCCCAAGAGTCTCTCCACAACCCAACCTCAGGCCTGGGCCACTGGGAACCTTCTCTTCACAGGCTCATTTCTTATCCTGCTTTTTCAGATATTCTGTAGCTCAAATCCTGACGCAGTTTTCACGTGCCAGTCTATGCTTCATTTAATTTGAGCAATGCATGCTTTGATAACAATCTAGCATGATGCAGAAAGCAGGGTTTGGCCTGTGGGGACAATGTCATCTCTGAACAAACGAGAGTAATCGCATGCCTTTAGGAGTTCTGGCTCAGTGGACATAGACATCATAAGATGTGGCTCTTCTTCAAGGACCAGGCCCACAGAACAATGAGCACACCAGGGACTTCTTCAGAATTCCCTGTTGCTGCCGAGCTTAGGTGACATTTATCACTCTCTGAAATCAGCCGTCTCAGTGTTTGCAGTGCCTTGGACATTGCTTCTGTCTTGGCTGTTGAGTGAGGAGTCAGCAGATATGTACTGGCATCTGTTCTTTGCATGACATCCAAGACATCAAAATAAATGAGGCAAGATGAATGGCTGTGTTTGCAGCTTTGAAGACAGATTTCACATTCTGCTGCCTAATTTCATTTCTGCATGAGACTAATTAACTAATTTGTGAAGCATTAGTGGAATGACTGTGCATTTAGCCCCCTGAAGACAAAATGCAAGTCTTTTACCTGCTGAAATCCATATGCCTTCATACGATTGATAGAATCTGCCAACATTTGCTGAATATTTCTTGAGGAACTGGAAGGTGACTAAAAATTAAATGAAACACAGTTTTATAATTTTTAGAGCTGTGATACGATTTCACAAGCCAATCTGCCAACACTTTCCTAGTTTCAATGTTCACTGGTGCTGCCCCATCCCTAGCTGGAGTGGGAGCCTTCAAAGTCGCCCTTCCCAGAAGCTCCTGAGTCCCTGGGTCTGTCCTGACTGGAAGCAGAAATGTGACTCCTCAGCAACCCCAATCAGTAGGGCACATAAATGAATTACTGGCCAAGAGCAGGAGCCATCAGTCTGGTGTGTCTTGAGGCCCTGGGATGACTTCTAGACATTAACACTACTCTCTAAATTAAGTTCTCTCATTGCTTGATCTCTGTGCCCCCAGTTTTAGCTCAGACAAGAGAAATGCCTTACTCTCTACCATTTAACTACATTGTGCCTTACCTCCTCTAGGACTGGAGAGGTATACCTGGAACACCAGTTTGGTGTTTCCTTACCTGGGTCTCACACCTCTCTCCTCCTGCCCTTGTTACCTGGTATCTATGTTTCAGCTGCTTCAGATGCATTTCCCAGAAGGCAACTGGAGAAGCATCCCTTGCCTGGATTCCCTGGTATTAATCCTGCCTACCATGTGCTGACCCCTCTGGGCACACTGACTGAGCTGGATTACATTTGCCCCTTGAGACCAGGTCAGTTACACTGGCTCTCATCACACTACTCCTGGTCTGAGTCACGTCCCAGCCTGGGCGACTTTATGCCACGTGTGGTGCCATCTCGTCACCTGCAAGCCACATCATTGTGATCTCTATACCCTGTGCCTGAAGATTAATTCCTGAATTTTGCCACAGATTAGTAATAGTCAGCAAAATTTCAGTACCAATATTACATGAGGAGCAAGAGGACACTGTTGGGTCATTACTATGCCGTGTATAAAACCAGGGTGGTGAAAACTGCCAGCTACCTCAATTATGTCTTTTCGTTACAAGAGACGGGCATGTGAGTACCCAGATACACCGCATTTCTCAGCTTCCCCAGCAGTTCGGTGAGTTCCAGAGAATAAATCATCTCAACATAATGCAAGTGATAACTAGCACTTGCACTTCTATCCAGGCCCTTGAAACCTCCTTCATGCACTCCTCCAGGCCACTTTCCCCTCCACAAGCTGGAATGGTAACACCCATGTTACCTAAAGATGGCAGAACTACCAAAAGTCTGAGGCCTGAGGAGCTGAGCCCTTGTAGCCAGAACACCTATCCTGGAGTATTGTAAAAGAGAAAAACTAACATCTATTGTGTTTTCTCCATTACATTTCATTTCAAAAACCTGGCCCCGGTAACACTGGTGGCATACTTTCTTCACTCACCAAGGATGGTTCAATTAATGCTAACCCTGGAGACCTGATATAGCTAGATACTATTTTAGTAAGTATTATTTTTATTCCTCACAACATCCCTGATAATGGGCAGCACAACGCCCAATTTTCAGGTGAAAAACTAAGTCTCAAAGTTGTGTAGTTTCTCAGGATCACAACTAGTGAATGCTATCGTTTCTGTTTTTCCCACCATGTTGACATTGCAGTGATAAAAAAATGAGATGCAGAACTTGGCAAAGTAATGGATCCTATGGGTTTCCCAATCACTACTTACCATATTCTCTCTCATTGTTTTCTCATTTTATTATTATAAAAGGATACTCAGCTACTTTACATCTAAAATAGAACAGTACAGTAAACAGTTCCTTTACTCACAATCAAGTTAGAACTGCTCCAACAGGTTTTGTTTAAGTCTGTGTGTTCAAAAATCCAAGATGACTTTGAAATTCTTTGAATGCATTTCCACAATAAGGAAGTGATCTTTGAAACCGGGCTCACTCTCCCTTTCCTCAATGATCTAAGACCCAGTTTCTTGTATGTTGAAAACTAGGAGGTAGGTCACTGTCCTCCCTTGATATCTCCTCATGTATTATAGCTAATGCTCCAGATAAGCTAGCTGTGCTCTCAGAATCAGAAGAACCTGGACCTATTTCTAATGTGGATCTTGAATGTGCCCTAAAGGCTTATCTCTTCAAGGCCTGGCCCTCAGATCCGTGCTATCAGGAGGTGGCAGAAACTTTCAAGAGGTGAAGCCTAATGGGAAGTCTTTCTTGGGGGTGTGTCCTCAAAGGGGACTGTGTGACCGTGACCCCTTCCTCCTCATGTCTCTTTTGTTTCTTGGCCACGAGGGGAGTGGTTTTGCTGTACCATGTGTTCTTGCCATAATGAGCAGCCTCATCAAAGGCTCAAACAAGTGGCCAGTTGATCATGAACTGAACCAAGGACTAAAGTAACCCCTGTGGCTATGAATGAACACGGTCTATGAGTGTTGGTCGGAAGTGACAGTATGCTTTCTTTGTCTTTGAAGTTTTAGGCTCTGTTTTCCAAACTGATGTTTACAGGTTCGTTCTTAAGTTTTAGCATAAAGTTGACTAGCTTAACAACCACCCCTGAGATGAATATTTCTATTCATCTGTATGTTTAATCCATAGTGTAAACCTTTTGCTATTTATGCATACTAAGACCTACATTGATAAAAATTCTGCTTTTCAAGGTGAGCCAAGGCTTGCCATTATCCCAAAATGTTAAAATAATATGAAGAACTTAAGACTTGTATAAAGAGCTTCATTGGAATACACTTACAAGTTCTACAATTCATAAACAACACCAAGTACAATGTAATAGACTAAACATAGTGTGAGCCAAAGAAATTTCCTTTATTAAAAAACAGCAAGATTAATAGGCTCAAAAGTGATGGTTTATGATGCTAATTCCAGAGGGAGACAACCCTGGACACACCATTGCCACTCTAAGCATTCCCAGAGGAAGAATGATGAGGTTTTCTGGAGGGGACACCACATGAATATGCTCCTGAGTCCTTCCTAGACAAAAGAAAGGGATGAAAGCCACTCCTCTACCAGTAGAACTTTGGCTGTAATGCACTTTCAAGAACAATACATCATTTGACCTTCATATCAGATGTAGGTTTATCCTGTTACCAAAGACAAGATGGCCTGATAGTAGGAAGGAGGCCAGAGGCCCAAGTTCACATCATTCCCATGCCTAGAGATGGCTTTGTCCATGGGGTTCCCCAAGAAGAACACGTCTCCTCTCAAGTACGTGAGCCTCGGCCATCATCTACATTACAGAAACTTTGGCAGCTGCTGAAAATCTAGGGGCAGAGTTAAAGCAATCTTTCCTGCTTCCTATTTGCTCTAAGTATAAAGAAACACCACTATGAGTATTTATGTACACATCCCCAGTAAAGAGGGAAAATGAAAGCTAATAACATAAAAAATTAGTGGACCTCCTGCGGACACCAAGTCAGAATGAAGATCCTAATTAGATCTAAAAGTGTAGCCCACCATATTGGCCAGACAATAGTATTTTTTTAATATTGTTAAAACTAAAAGTATGGTAACTCAATCTATGTAAACAATTGAGCTATGAACAGATGCTGCTGACACCATCAATATTACACAATTGCAAGTTGTATTTTCTCCAGAGAATAAGTATCATATAAGAAGGATTATTCTAATTATATTCACTTTTTAAAACTTTAAAAGCTGTTCCTTCTGGTTTTTAACTTTTTATTCATTTTGTTTAAAAGTAGGGTTATGCAATCAGACAAATGCCAGGCTCCTTTAATTCCAACAAAACTAGAAATCTCCAATAAATGGAACAATTTCAGCATTCAATTTTTGTGGTAAAGATAAAAATGAGCTAACGTAAACAAGAGTTTACTTTTGAAAATAAACTAAGTTTCTACTCATCTTATTCTCCTCTACTTCTTAAATTCATAATACTCTTTAATAGAATGATTCTTAGAATAACAACCTCCATGAAGGCAAATGCCACTTCAGCTTATTCACCATCACCTAGACCCCCAGCAAAAAGAACAGTGTCCCACACTTAGTAGGGCCTCATAAATACTGGGTGAATGAATGAACACACAAGAAACTCATTAAAACACTTTCAAAACCATTAAAATATATATAATCTAGTTCTACTATGAGTCAAGATAGACTGAGTTGAAGTTCTTTGAAAATCAGCAGTCTATAACTCACTCGTTTTGTTAGCCAGATCACTGAAATAATCAAATCATCCTCTTCCAACTATTTTAAATAAAAGAGAATTTCCCAATCATGATTGTAATATTAAGCCTTGGGCATACCAGGATTTAGCTTTTTCTCCTAAAAACAGGAAAGATAGAAACTGTACTTCAATAAAGTTCCAAAGAATAATAATAGAGAGAAAGAGAGAGAGAAAAGATATTTTCCTGAGGCCACCTACAATAACAAGATGAAAAGCAGAACAATAAATTTTATTGCTGTATAGTCCATGCTCCCTGTGGAGTGATTTTACTGAAACATGAATCAGGACAATGGAAGCCTGAGGAAATCTTTTCCCCATTTCTCTAATATTGTTCCTAGTAAAATCTATGCCCAGAGACTACTCATACTCAGAGTTAGAAGTACAGCCAACTTTAACATGATGCACTGTGATTCAAAGGTGCACCTTTACCTAAAACATCGCCAATAGTATCTGAGCCAACTTTGAACACACTGGAGCATTGAATTGTCACATTAAGTGAACGTTAGTTCACTTCTCTTGCACCTACCCCATTACAGCCCCTGTGTAATGGGTACTGATTATGGCTCCACTCTTGATAAACACTATTCTTCTTCTGTTTTTACCTGACATACCCAACACTTCATCTATCACAAAAATAACATTGCAACACTTCTTTCACATACACTAGAAGGGGATATGCATTGAGGAAATACAGATGCTGGTTTGGGGTAAGATGATCTCTCTTTGTTCATATCAAACACAATCCTGGAAATTCTAGATTGCATTTCAATGTGAACACAACAGAAGGAGACAGTAACATCTTCAAAATGCAATCAATAACACGAAGCTAGAAAGTGGATGGGGCAAAGCATTTCAGATGGGAAAGCTCCAACAGCCATACCTACACTCTCATCCATGAAAAAGAAA